ACAACACAAGCATCAGTATACCATTCAAAGCAAATATTATCTGCAAAGTTGGTAGTTCTACAAACAAGCAGCAAAATATTGTGAAATTCCATAAATTTCCTTTTCATAGTTGAATTTTTCAGGAATATTTTTATTGAGTCCCAGTTTCAGAACTAAACTCCATGCATGCACCAGTTCCTAGTAACCCAACTTTTTTTGTGGTCATCATGTCCCTCTCATAAATGATACTGCTGTACTGTATGCAGGGTAACTTTTTGGAAAAAAATTTGTGTCTAATAGGCCAGAAAATATGATAATTGGTTTCTGTTGCTTTCCTTTAGTGATTAGTTCCTATATTCATGCATATTTTTCAATGATTGTTAGTACAATAGTAAGAAACTGCTTATTCTCAGATTTTTTGAGCATATATTAATTTTTCTATTCAAAAACAGAAGCAAAACATTTGCAGACACATTGTTCTTGTATTTTATATGAACTACCATAAAACAATGTTTTTATTTTGTGTAATAAGGTTTACAAAAGCATAAAAAAGAAAGTATATGTTTACTTACCAAGCTAAGTCCCAGATTAAGTTTTGATAGTTTTCAACATAAGATTTTTAAAATTATCGAACCATTTATTAAAGACTTTCTGAAGACAGCTCCTGTGTAATTTGGTTTTCATCATTAATCTTTTTTGACCAGTAATGAAACAGAATGCAACTAGCCAATCAGCAAATGATTAAATCAGACAACTTTTTGATTTGATCATTCTCTATGATTGAGCAATTTTCATGCCAAAAATTACAGTATTTGAAAGATTGTCAGACATGGCAAAGCAAATTACAAATCTAGTTATACATTAACAGTTTAACTTATGCATTCTTTTATGTTCTTTTAAAACTGGGATTAATAAATATGTTTCATACAATAATCTTTTAGCACAGCATATCTCTTTTCTAATCCAAGGGCTTATGACAATATCACATTGAATCACTGGTTCTTCTTATGATCCTTGAAGTTAAACATCATTGAACCTGGTTAGTACCTAGATGGGTAACCGCTTGGGAATACCAGGTGCTGTAAGCTTGGATGTGCAGGTGATATGTTTGACAGTCATGCCATATTGAAACACTGGTTCTTGAACAATTAGTGAAACTAAGCAACACTGAGCCTGGTCAGTACCTAGATGGTTGACCTCATTACAATATTAGGTGCTGTAAGCTTGGATGTGTGCATGTTATGGCTTATGGCCATATCATATTGAAGCATCTGTTCTAGTATACTCACTAAAGTTAAGCTACATCGAACCTGGTCTGTGCCTAGATGGGTTACTGCTTGAGAATACCAGTTTCTGTAAGCTTGGATATGCATGTGGCATGATAGATAATGGCTCTGAATTTGAAATTGGAGAGACAAGTTACAATTCCAGTTTGGTTCATTATAGTCACTTACGTGCAAATACCCTTGGAAAAGGTATGGATTCATCTTTTCTCCTCCCACCTATGGTTTAATTAGTAAGTTTTGTATCAGTAAATCATCATTAACTTCAAAAAATTCTTACAATCTAAAGATATTTTCTGGCTTTAAATAACCTGTAAAACCCATAAAAACTCAATCCTAATCCAAGAGATGTTCTCTGTTCATTTTGCCATTACAAATTCGAGTCTGTGTACCTTCAACTAGCAATTGAGTCTGTTCAATGTTTTTTTTTTTTTACATTAGTTCTACTATTATTGCATACACAACCACACCCATCCTGGGTATGATGATAAACTACATCCTACATCAAGGCCTCTGATCAGGAGGTTTTGAGGAGCAGGGAACCAACTCTTAATTGCTGGTGTTCCCAGGTCCATCCTGACCTGGGGTGGTAGCACCTGTTAGGTTCCCAGCTATGGGTAAATAGTTAACCCCCAAATTGGTGTCAGAACACTATGAAAATATAAAAATAAGTTTTGATACCAGAATACTTTGTAAACATTATTACCAGCAATAAATTTTTGAAGAAAAATTATTACCAGCAATACATTATTAACAGCAATACAATTTTGAAAAAAAATATTACCAGCAATAAAAATTTTGTCGGCATTAAATAACCCATTTAGGTTGATATGCCGTAAAACAAACCAAACACACACACACACATATATATATATATATAGAGAGAGAGAGAGAGAGTGAGAGAAAGAGAGTGATAGTATTCAATGCACATCACAAAAAGCAGATATTTTCATTATTTAATGACATACATCGTATTTGTTTACCTCACAATTACCTGATATATCAATAACATTTTTGATATATGAGGAACAATTTTAATCAATACATTTATTTAAAATCTGCAAAACTGTTGTATCTCTTGACTAATGAGTCAGTAATTTTTATCTTTCCTATAAAGACTAATTATAACATTCTATACATTACAATCTATAGAGTGTTACTTAATTTTTCTGTATTATGGCTGCTACAGCAGAATATACTATCATCCAAAGAACATGAATAACTACTTAGAATGTTTTAAAATATCCTACAGATGTTTAGAACTAAGCATCTAGCAATTTACGTTCTTCAGTATTTGTCTACTTTTTTTTATAAATCAATATTGAATAGCTTCTTATCTTTTCATGATCTACAATGTCCAATTAATTCTATCTTCCTACAAAGCAAAATATATTATTCCAGTAGGTATCTGTCTTACATAAATGTCCCTTAGCAAATTTCAGGCATACCTCCATGAATTGGTAGTTTTCTTTCAGTTGCTCTACAAGATTAAAAGCTATACTGACAGTTTGTTGCTGACAGCTTGATGTGTAACTGACTTCTATAAATCTTTTTGAATAATCTTTAGCTATTTCTGTACTATTCTTATAATCCTTCTTGCAAATCTTTCAAGAAGCATGAGATCAGGGACAGTTCATTTGATTCCTTCTACTAGCAAACTATCAAACCAACAGTGCATGGATCAAGTTGCAGCTATGGTTAATTTGCATTATAATCCCCATAAACCAATTGTAATGATAATTTTCCATTATGGTGTGAAATTGCCTGAGTATTTTGAAAATAACAATAAAACTTTGCGCTTGGATACCATTTAGAAGTTATCAACTTCATTTGCGTCACAGCAGCAGAATGGGCGCCATTATTGGCTTTGTTTGCCTGAAGTAGTAATCAGCAGATGCTTCACTTGTCTTGATTATTGCACAAAGTTTAAAATGAATGTGCAAAATTTTGAAAGTAACCCAAAAGAAAAAAAAAATCACTATTCCAAATATATCAGTAAAAATGAGAAAATGAAAGATTATGTGCCTGAAAGGATAAATTTTTTTTTTTTTTTTTTTTTTTGAAAATCACTTAATTTCATGAATTATTGAGAAATTACATTTGAGGATGAAATTTTGTTTCATTTGTTATAAGCAGATTTATTAAGGATAATATTGTCTTAAGAATATTTTTTTCCATTGCTTTTCTAAATAATTTAAATGTCTTAAGTTATTCAAAATTTAAACCAAAAGAATTCTTATGACACTATCATTATTTTTATTTTTTTTTTTTTTTGAAAAAAGGGTTGACCTATAACATATTTATTTAGAAAAGCTTTCAACTGTTTTTCTAAATAATTTAAACCAATTTAAAAAAAGAATTTATTACTTATTAAAGCTTCACTTTTACAAAAAAACAAAACTGTTTGGTTAACCAATTTAATTAAAATTGAATTCAAAAAAGGAAGTTATGCCAATTTAAAAATAACAATTCATTTAAAGCTTCAGTTTTACAAAAAAAAAGTTGCACATGAAGCAAAGCATGTGCATTTTAAATTAAAATTTGTAAAAATTGTGCAATAATCAAGACAAGTAAGATCAGTAAAAAGGCTGTTAACTAAGTAAGCTTCTGTGCATTACTACTTGAGGCAAACATATGTAAACAATACCAGTAATGGCAGTTTGGCTGTAGATGCAACGTGAATAAGGCCGAGCTAAGATTGTCAATAACTCCTAAATGGTATTTGAGCACAAACGTTTATTGATATTTTCAAAATAATAAGGTAATTTCACACCATAATGGAAAATCTTTGTTACAATTGGATTTTGGGGGTTATAATGCAAATTAACTGTAGCTATTTACATGTACAATAAGGACTAATTCTGGTATCTCTGAGGTTTGTTGAATGTTATTTAATTTTAAGCATTGTGGTTGTGACTAATTCATTATACCATCATCCCAAGAATGCTAATTACTATTTAGAAGGTTCAAGAATAATCTACATTTTTCTATAACCAACCATTCTTCAGTGCTATTATTATTATTGAATGTGTATTGAATAGTTATTTTGTTACATTTTTTTTAAATAACTCGTTCATAATTTTTATAAATGTATTTGTTGAAATCCTTGTCTGAATTTCTGGGATGAAGAGTTGTACTTGAACCCAGTAGAAACTACCTAATGAGTTTGTGATAACAGATGTCAGAATCAGAACAAATGGGTAATGGTTATGTTAGCCATTTCTTTATAAGGAAACATCTGACATTCATTGACCAATCAGCTAGTACTATTTTGGGTTGATTTATAAAATCTTTCCCTTAAAGCAGTTTTTCAGAAAGTAGTTTCTTAAGCCCTGTAGCTGTTATCGCTCTTTTCAGTATTCATGGGAGTTTCCTCCCTAACTTTTTGCTTGAAGAGGTGTGGAATATCAAAATCTTGATTATGTTATTATTTTCTCTTTGTGATATCCATTTCAATTGTAGCTGCTGTTATTTGGTACAGTTCTTTATTTGTGATTATGTAATACCAGTTCACAAGGTTCTATCTGAGACTTACAGGATTCATTTACTCAAAGCCATTTTTAAGCACTGATCTGAGAAAATGGTTGTATTCAGATAAGACTTAAATTATTTCTGAATGGGTTTGGCACCATGTATGATATCCATATTGAAGTTTTGATGGGCTTATTGAAGAACATAACTTGAGGTTTAGGTAAATATCTGGGTTTTGTAGCAATTTGTGTTTTGGGAAAGTACCCCTAACACAGCTTATTCTATATTTAATGTTCTCATCTCTTATACCAAATTTCTTATAATTGATCCATTCCAAAAATTAGTGGAAGGGTTTGGTATTTATTAAATCCATAAAAAAGTAAAAACTTACTCAGATCAACAAAATATGTGATGTAGAGAGCTATGATTAGCCATATATCAAGAGAAGACTGAATAAAAAGATTAAGTTGACTTTAGATTTTGATGTGTAAGTAATTTTCGGGGATTGTCATTATTTTTAATGATTGCTACAAACCTTAAATCATACACTGTATGTAGTTGTAGCACCAGAAATATTTAATGGAGCAATCATTTGGAGTTCCTTACAAATGTACATTTTTAGTGGTACCTTCATCAAAAAGTCAAAATTGGATATTTGGAGAATTGCACAGAACTTAACTTAAATGAAAGATAAAAATAAAAGCAGAAACTTTTACAGATTTTTATTGTCCTGTTTTGACTGAACACATAATTACGTTTTCAGTTTTAAAAGCCTGTGTCACAGCCAGCACTATTCTATTGCTCTGAAGAGGCGGATACGTCCAGAAAGGAATTTAAAGGAGAAAAATAAAGAAAAGGTTAAGAAGAAAAACTGGCATTGTGGAGGGAGAATGGTCTGCTTAAGGGAGACATTATTGGAGTCTGTCTTCTGCACAGCTGCTGTGATATTGTGGAGGTGGGAGGCACTGGAGCAAGTGGACAAATTAAATCAGTCATGCTGCAAATGGACCTTGTGATAGAAAAAGCAGTAAGCAAATAAAAAAAGTAAGTTTATGAAGGAGAAGGAGATAAAATAAAAAGGATGACATGAAAGGAAAAGAAAATCGTAAGAGGAGGATAAAAAAGAAGTGGAGAAAAGAAAGAGGGAAGTGAAGGAGAAAAAAGAAGTGAAGAAGAGAAAGAGGGAAAGGAAGGATAAAAAGAAGTGAAGACAAAGATGGAACGGTAAGAGAAAAGAGAGAGGGAAGGGAATGAGAAAAGTGGAAAGAAGAAAGAAGGAAGGGTAGGAGAAAAGAGAGAGGGAAGGGAACGAGAAAAGTGGAGAAAAGAAAGAAGGAAGGGTAGGAGAAAAGAGAGAGGGAAGGGAATGAGAAAAGTGGAGAAAAGAAAGGGTAGGAGAAAAGAGAGAGGGAAGGGAACGAGAAAAGTGGAGAAAAGAAAGAAGAAAGGGTAGGAGAAAAGAGAGAGGGAAGGAATGAGAAAAGTGGAGAAAAGAAAGAAGGAAGAAAAGAGAAAGGGAAGGAGAAAAGTGGAGAGAAGAAAGAAGAAGGGAAGGAGAAAAGAGAGGGAAGTGGAGAAAAGTGGGAAAAGAAAGGGTAGGAGAAAAGAGAGGGAAGGAACGAGAAAAGTGGAGAAAAGAAAGAAGAAAGGGTAGGAGAAAAGAGAGAGGGAAGGGAATGAGAAAAGTGGAGAAAAGAAAGAAGAAAGGGTAGGAGAAAAGAGAGAGGGAAGGGAACGAGAAAAGTGGAGATAAGAAAGAGGGAAGGGAAGGCAAAAAGAAAGAAGGGAAGGTGAAAAAAAAGAAGCAGATAGAAAGGGATAAAGGAAGGAGAAAAAGAAGTGGGGTAAGTACAAATAAGGGAAGACGGAAGAGAAAGAGAAAAAAGTGAAGAAAGGAAAGGAAAACATAAAGAAAAAGAGGAGAAAAGGAAGGAAAAAAGAAAGAAGGAAGGGTAGGAAGAGAGAGGGAAGGTGAGAAAAAAGAAGTGGATAAAAAAGATAAGGGAAGGGAAAAAAAGAAACGGGAAAAGTACAAAAAAGAGAAGATGGAAGGGGAGTGGAAAAAGTGGAGAAAGAAAGAAGGAAAGGAAGACAAAAAGAAAGAGGGAAGGAGGAAAAGAAAGGTAGAAGAGAAAGAGAGACATAAGGGAATGATAAAAAAATGTAGAGAAAAGAAAGAGAAGGGAAGGTCAGGAAAAAAAGAAGTGGAGAAAAGAAAGAAAAACTATCGGAGTTCAAGAAGAATCCAGAAGAGAAAGAAATATGCTAAAAAGAGTGGAAATAAAAATATGAGCAAATTAAGAGAAAAAGAAGAAAAGGAAAAATAAAACAAGGAAGCAGAGAATAAAGGAAAAAAGGTAAGTAGAGAGAGGAAACAAAAAGAGAAGAATGTGAAAGGAAAAATCACTGAAAGTAGGAAATACCCAGCCCCTACCACCCCCCCCCCCCCCCCCCACCCCACCACCACCACCACCACCAAAAAAAAAAAATTTGAATCAAGTTCAACAGAAAAAAAAAATCATGGGTAAGTAGAAATGGTGAAAGAAATAAAAAAAAAAAAAATCAAGAGAAAGAGAATACACACTGTAGAAGGAGGAACAAATCAATGCAGAGAAACAGATAAAAAGATATATGTTGAAAATAAATGAACATAAAAACATGAAAAATAGACAGACATTAAAAATATCAAGAAATTAAGAAAAAATTTGTTGTCTAAAAATTGCTCAGCAAATATGTCCTTAAACCAAACTTAGTTTAATCTGTTTCAATCTTCCTGTTTCACCTATAGACATTAATGTATGACAAGAGGAAAATGTATTGATTCCCTAAAATGGACCATTGTCTCCTGTGGTATCCAATTCTTTACCTTACCTTACATTACCTTATTTTTCCTTTAGCTTAATGCCCATTGATGTCAACAGCATTCTATATTGTCTTTGTTTTGGAGACGTAGTAAATGCACCTCATGTCTAACTACCTTTTAAAGTTTCTAGTGGCTGACTGTTTTTTTATGGCTTATCATCCCTTTGTTGTTATTAAAGCTGAAATATATTTTGGATCATAAGATTAATTATTTGTTTATTTTGTTTTGTTTTGTGAGTAAATATTGCATTAATGATTTTTTTTTTTTTTTTTTTTAGAATAACAATGATTTATCTAGATAAAATTCCTGCTATTTAACCCATAGCTGGTGGTAGGAGATGAGTTCATACCTTTCCTAAGTGTATTTGTACATAAGTGAATGTGGGAGCTTAACTGGAATTTGAACTTGGCTTCTCATTCCGGTTTCTAATTCTGACCTGAAGTTCATTACACCATCCACACCTCTCTATAAGTACAGCTGATTAAAAGTTTCCCGCAAATGAATCAGGACCCCCGAATCAGTTACAAATAGCCCACTGCAGTTTTTAATTCAGAGTTGTCCTCCTTGTAGACTGGTTCCCACCCAAAGCTATAAAACCCAGTCTGCTCTGTTATTTAACCAATCAGCAGAAATAGGGATATATATCTTTACCAAGAGTATTTGTGTGAAAATGAATGTTACAGTCTTGGACAGAATTTGAACTTGGCTTGTCAATTTTTCTTTCTGAGCTACTATCATCATTTTTATTCTTCTCTTTCCATTTAAGACTGACCTTAACATCTTTGTTACCTTTGAAGGAATGACTGTACCATCTTTTACCATGTGGGTGTTTTTCTCCTCTGTGATTCATGTTGGTGTATGCACAACATGCTTATGCCAGCCATTTTGGATGAGCTGAGGGGAAATAAATGCCCGGTATAGAGGCTGTCTCCAGCAGCCTGATGATTACACAGATACCATGTACGAAACCATCATGACAGCACCATGTTATTAAAAAAAAAACAATATTTGAGCTCTGCCATTATTTATAGGGCATTGTTTTCTGCATAAACTCCTACCACTCCTTTGAGAGTAATTTTGTTTTTATGAAATAGATATATATCTATAAACAGAATTAGAAAGCTAGAGTAATATGAACAGAGATAGATAGATTGATATGAACAGTGATAGATAGATTGATATGAACAGAGATAGATAGATAGATAGATAGATAGATTGATATGAACAGAGATAGATAGATTGATATGAACAGAGATAGATAGATAGATAGATTGATATGAACAGAGATAGATAGATAGATAGATTGATATGAACAGAGATAGATAGATAGATTGATATGAACAGAGATAGATAGATAGATTGATATGAACAGCGATAGATAGATTGATATGAACAGAGATAGATAGATAGATTGATATGAACAGAGATAGATGGATTGATATGAACAGAGATAGATAGATAGATTGATATGAACAGAGATAGATAGATAGATTAATATGAACAGAGATAGATAGATTAATATGAACAGAGATAGATAGATAGATAGATATGAACATAGATAGATATGAACAGAGATAGATAGATAGATAGATATGAACATAGATAGATATGAACATAGATATGAACATAGATAGATAGATATGAACATAGATAGATATGAACATAGATATGAACATAGATAGATAGATATGAACATAGATAGATATGAACATAGATATGAACATAGATAGATAGATATGAACAGAGATAGATAGATAGATAGATATGAACAGAGATAGATAGATAGATAGATAGATAATATGAACAGAGATAGATAGATTAATATGAACAGAGATATGAACAGAGATAGATAGATTAATATGAACAGAAATATGAACAGAGATAGATAGATAGATTAATATGAACAGAAATATGAACAGAGATAGATAGATAGATTAATATGAACAGAGATAGGTACATAGGTAGATTGATATGAACAGAAATATGAATAGAGAGATATATATGAATAGATATAGATATGGGCAGAGATATGAACAGATTTAGATATATCAGTACTTGTCAAAAAGTTTGTATATTTGATGATGTTAATTTTAAAGAATTCAAATGTTCTTTTTGTTTTGTTTTTTAAACTTAAATGATTATCATGTTGTCAAAAGATGACTGTCGGCTTGAACTTGAGATTTGTTTTCAGTTACTCTTAATTTTCATTCATATAAAATGCTGCAAGATTCATATTGTTGACTTTTAGCAGGGTAAGGTCATATGTTGGGTGGGAGTGGAGTCATAGTGCATACTAAAATAAAACTGAACTGGTTGTGCCCTTATGGTGTATTATTTTATCAGGTTTTTTTTTTCTCTCACTAAAACCTGATATTTCATCATACTGTGTACCAGAAAGTTTTTAGTAGAACATACTTGGAGTTATCAGTAAATAAAAAACATTTAACATGGAACATCCCAACATGGGAACTATGGATTGGTGATGCCAAAATCAACCAAGTACCAAAAGTTTAAATATTTTAACAAAGGAGGGAAAATGTGATCCTGAAATTTGAAGGCATATTGTCTTCCAAAAGCTAAGAAATGTATTAAAAAACAGAAAAAATATTCATTAGAACCAAAGAAGAATACTGAACTGTTATATAATATAATTCCTCCCATATGGCAGTGAGTGCTGGACAATCTCCTCACAGATGAAGAAGAGACTTTTGGCAACAGAAATGTGGTTCTACAGAAGAATGCTGAGAATACCATGGATTGAACATATGAGCAACAACAAAGTATTAGAGGAAATGGAAACAAAATGGACACATACTTAGAATATGAAGGAGATATTTGAAATTTCAATGTAATTACAATGTTTAGCATAGTCTGGACAATCTCCTCACATATGAAGAAGAGACTTAAAACAACAGAATACCATGGATTGAACATATGAGCATATGATTAAAGACGAAGTCTGAGAGAAAATGAAAACAAAAAGGTCCCTTATTACTGAGAATCAGAAAGAGGCAGTTGAAATTATTAGGGCACATAATAAGGAAAGAGAGTTTGGAGAATTTGACAACCACAGAACCTACTGAAGTCAAGAGAAACAGGAATGCAGTGCATGGCCTACCTAATGAGCTTGTGTAAATGGTTGACAAAATGGATTAGGTATGATGGCAAAAAGACAAAGCTTACTAAGAACTACAGAGGACAGGAATTTGTGGAGTGCCATGATTGCTCATGTCCTGAAGGAACACAGCTTATAGAAGAAAAATATGGGCATTGCTGCTGAAGATGATGAAGATTCTGTTCATGATGGGGATGTCGTTACTGAAGTTGCTTTAAAAAAACTCCTGACAGTGTTTTTCCGATCACAACATTCTTGACTTCTTCAAGTCTAGGGTTAATCATCTTTCCTATATAACCTCATAAACTGTACTTCTTACTTTTCTTATCACACAGTAACTTACCTTGAGTGGTTCTTGGGCCTTGTATTGAGTGAACATTAGTGAACAAAAAAACATTTATCATACTTCAGAACAAATCTCAAAGCAGTCTACTGTATTTTTATAGTGTTGAAGAAGAGACTATATTTTACCTGAAATAACTGTTGAAAATTTACACTGCATGATAACAGCCTGAAGTTGATTTTTTTTATTATTATTTTTATATTGTTAGCACTTGACAATTCAGAAATAGGATGTGTCATGGACCCTGGGAAATATGGTAATTCATGGCTTGGAAATGGTTCTTTCGACTATACCAACACTTGTACTGAAACAGAAATATCATGAAACTCCTTAATCTCAGGTTTTAGCTAATACCAGAGTGATATTAGTGTTTTCTGAATGAAATGAAGACCTCAGGGGAAGCTCAATGATGATATAAAAAAATAAAATTTTGCTCTTACATTAATTGAAGTTTTTATTTTGTAGGATAGAGAAATAAAATTCTGGAAAAGCATTCTTCATTCTTACAGTTTCTTGCAAAAGTATTGGCAAATCTATTTTGATTTCTACAGACTGTTTTGTTTTTAATTAAAATTAAGTAAGCTCTAAGGGCAAGATGTCATGACAAGCTGTGTTTTCTATTTTTATTTGGGATTATGATATTAATCACTTTTATTCAGTGATATTGGGAACCATTCTCATTATTATTATAGAAACAGAACCAAAAATAATTCAATTCCCCAAGTCTCTCCAAAGGATCAAGCATCATTGTTAAAGGAGACGAGCTTTTTTGTAGGTCAAAGAACTTTTCAGCACTCACTTCTATTTTTATAACATTATCCCCCCATCTCTCTCTCACTATATATATATATATATATATATATATATATATATATATATATATATACCATGTGTATTTGTATATTTTCATCTGTTAAGTAATTTTAGTTACTGCACTAGCAATGTCTTGCTCTGGGTATGACAATAAAATGCATCCAGCAGCAAGACCTTTGATGAGGACATCAGTGATTTTGAGGAGCATGCAACCACCTCTAAATCGCTGTTGTTCCCAGGTCCACCCTGAACCAAGGTGGTAGCAGCTGTTAGGGTCCCCGTTATGGTCAAATAGTGAACTCTCAAACAAAAAACAAGACACTATGAAAGAATAAAAAAATTTTTTACATTTAAAATATGTATAAAAAAAAAATTACTAACAATACATATTTATAGTAAAATTACCAATGTGACATTATTTCATATAATATCCTACAATTTCTTTAAGAAATCAAACTGTATTCCAAAATATCACTTCAACAAAACTACAACATAAAAGATATATATATACCACCTCTGATAATCATATCCACACAAATATGTATATGCACAAAATCTGAGTGTCGTCTACCATATATTCAGTTGTGAAAGCAGAACAACATATATTTTATTAGTTCAAAACTTCCATTAAACTTTTATGCCATTAAACAAACAAACAAATCAAATCAAATCACTGGCAATGTCAAGTGGCATTTTTTATCAGATAAGCTGGGAAGTGAAAAGAACAGTTGTATGTCAGACCAGAGAACAACAATAATAATTTGAAAAAATATACTTAAAGATTCTCAGGTAAAATCCTTATAATAGTAAGGACTTCAGGAAATGTCATTTTATACATACACGCACACACACACATAAAACTGTTGTTCTTATCATTATTGCCCTATTCACAAGATTTTAACCATTGCACGCTCTGGCCTTCTTCCAATGATATACATCAAAATTTTAAACTGAACCCTTCATTTAGTCTATGGGGTTAGATTGTTCTAATTCCATGTTCCATGTCTTGGAGAGTTTCATTACTAAATGGAATTGACTGAAACTGACATATCCAAAAAAAGTCATGGTGCATGGAATCAGAACAATCTGATATTATCTATTTGCTTGTCCTTGTTATAAGATTGATATGTTTGATGCTTTTACTTATGTAGAGAATAAAAAAAAGTGAATTAATATTTGGGTGTATTAGAATTTACTGCTTAGCTGAATAATGGGGACACCACAAAGACAAATACTTGAGAGCAGAAAGACACATTACACTCTTAATACACATATAATCATTCTATGTAAAAGTTTATACAACGTCACACATGAGGCCACCATATCTTTACCAATTTGAGACAGAGACTAGAAGATAACAAAATGATATTATACAACATTAATTTATAAAAACGCATCTAAATCCTTGATGTTACAATCATAAAAACAAAATAAAATCTATATTTAAATAGAATATTCCATCTTCTAGGAAGAAGTGTTAAATATATTCAGTAATTAATAAACACACAAGCTTAGTTGACATGATATTATGAACAGTCCTAAATTTATTGTTTACTATTAACATGTAGAAGAATTTTATATGAGGATAAAATTCACTCCAGCAGTCACACGTCTCAAGTACTAATTCTTGAAGCCACCTAACAACTCATAGACAAACTCCCCAACTGCAATCAAGATACACATTTTATACAACCTTATTTGTATAGTGCAATGAGAATCTTGTTCTGAATTTACATATCCTTTGAGACTGACACTGAGTTTATGCAGGTCATGTGTATCATTTTTCTTTTGGACAGGCCAACATGTGGAACATTGTTTACTCAGGTAAGCATTTCTTGTATTCCTTTTCTGTCTGGTTTTTACACATTTTCCTTTTTCCTTGAAAAATGGCACACATGACAGGGATTTGTTTTCGAGGATATTCATTTATATGTTCCCTTTGCAACATGTCAAAACATGGTTTAAATTTATAACATTTTCAAATTTGAAGTATCAGTCCGATAATTTTATCTGAGCTTCATTCTTATGTGCATTGGTATTCTGACTGGCATATTTTGGACATTGCACCAGTTGTATTTGGTAACCATTTTGCAATTTCAAACAACTCTTTATTTAATTCAAGGGGGCTTGATTGCTCTCACTCAACTTTTCATGCTTAAGGATATTTCTTATTATTTAAGAAACACCAGTTTTATACATCTGTGTCACTTGTCTGTTTCTTCCACTGAACAAGAGTATGAGATTTTTTTTTTTTTAGCACTACCAGACCCAAGGATTGAACTGATTCACTGCCAGGGAGCCATATATGCTTTAATCTGTTAATACACTAGGTCATGTGTACAAGAGATATATTGAGTGGATCTTGGAATTTGTATTGGGTGAATATTAATATAAAAAAATTGTTCTTTCCTAAATATGTAGAGGCAGAGTGGAGTATTGGTTAGCAGCTTGGA